TATAAATGGTTTCAGTTTGATGCTATGCGTACATTAATTATAATTTTTATTTTGGGAATTTTCTTTTTTTCTTCTGGTTTTTTGTTTCCACACACTTTTCTTGGTTTTTCAAATAGATTTTCTTGTGATTCAAAGAAATGTTTGATTTTCTCATGCCATAAATATTGGTCATCTTTCTTATCTTTTTCACATTGTGCGGACATGTGAGTTGGTGGTGATTTTTCTATTTCTGTTGGGTGAATTTCTTTAGGAAGGCGTGATACTGCATCTGCATTAACATTTTGCGTTCCTATTTCTTATACTGAATTGTATATTCAAATTCTTGAAGTTTTAATCTCCATCTTACTAATTTCGAACCAGGGTCTTTGATACACTAGAGCCATTGTAATGGTTTACGGTCAGTTACTATTGTAAATTTTCGGCCAAATAAATATGGACGAAATTATTTCGTAGCCCATATTATTGCTAATAATTCCTTCTCGATTGTTGAGTGATTACACTCGGCTGGGTTTAGAGTAGAGTTCTACTGCTATAAGCAACAGGTAAATCCGATCGGATTGGTCCTTGTGAAAGTACTGCACCAATTGCGTACTCTGTACTCTGAAGCATCAGTGGTTAATGCAAAACGTTTTTCAAAATCGGGAAATTGAAGTATTGGGTCATTGATTAAAAGGTCTTCACAAAGGTTGAATGCTGTAATGAATGCTTTATCATAAATCACTTTGACATTTTTCTTTAAACAATTTGTTAAAGGTTTTGTTTGCAAAATTCTTTATAAATTTCCTATAATAACCTACGAGGCCAAGAAAAGATTTAATTTCTTTCGGGGTTTTTGGTATTCTAAAAATTTTAACTACCTGTGCCGCCTGTGCCACCTTCTGGAGTTATGATATGTCCTATAAATTCGACACTTTTCTGTAAAAATTCAGATTTGTCTAATTGTATTTTCATATTGAAAGACTTTAATCGTTCGAATACTAGTTTTAAAGAGTTAATGTGTTCTTGAACGCTGGTTGAATAGATAATGATATCATCCATATATACTAGACAGACTGTTTCAAGTAATCTTCGTAAAACATTATCCATTGCTCGTTGGAAAGTAGCAGGAGAATTTTTTAAGCCGAAGGGCATCCGTGTGTATTCGTAATGTCACAATAGTCTACATTGAATGCTGTTTTGGGAATACTTTTTGGGACAATTTTAATCTGGGTGAAACCCACTGGCTAAATCCAAGGTTGTAAAATATTGAAAACTTCCTAGTTTATCTAATATATCTGCGATATTGGTATTGGATATTTATCACCTATGGGTTTTTTATTCAATTTGCTGTAGTCAAATACTAATCTCCATTTTTTTTGTCCGGACGCATCTGTTTTCTTAGGAACAATCCATATAGGGAACCTCCAAGGAGAACAGGATGGTTGGATGATTCCATCTTGAAGCATTTGGTCTATTTGCCTATTAACTTCGTCTTTGTGAATGTAAGGGTATCTATAATTTTTTGTATGTGTTGGAATTTCGTCTGTTGTAGTTATTACATGTTTGACTTGATTTGAGAATGTTAATTGATCTCCAGGTTTATGTAAAGGATTGCCAAATTTTCTAAGTAGGTAGTTTGAAAAATTGTTCACGTTTTTCTTGATTTAAATGATCGTGTCTTATTAAAGATTTTAAATCAATTTTTTCTAAAGTATTTTCTATATCGAGATTAAAGTTAAATATTTCAAAGTTGTTGAATTCGATTGGTTCTAGTAAGTTTTCATTTCTACTTCCTTCTAAAATTATCGATCTTTCTGAGGCTGAGGCTAAACGCTAAACACGTCTATTGTATAAGTGTTCTTAATTATAGTTTCTAATGTTGATTGAATTTCAATGTCATCATTAGGGAAATATGGCTTTATCCATGTAGTATTGTTGGGTAGATTTGTTTTAAATATGGCATTTTAAAGAGTTTTTGGTAGAATTACGATTGCATATTCGTCAAAGTTTTGTCTTTGTTGGAATGGAATTTCGAAATAGTGATTTTTGAGTAATTGATTATTGAGGTCGATATTTCAGTTCAATTCACAAAGATCTTTTATTCCTAAAATTCTGTCGAAATAAGCATGGAAAGGATATGAAATGAATTCAATTGGTTCAGATATTCCAAAGCATGAAAATAGTGGAATGTTTGCTTTACTGGTACTTAGCTTTTTTTGAACTAGCGCATGTTTGAAATGTACTAACATACGTTTCAGCTAAGCATGGTCTAAGCAATGATGGATGACAAGGCTTCGAATTGAAAATTTTCCAATTGTTCTGCAAGATTTTCTTCTTCAAAAGATGTTTGATCTTCAAAATTGTCATTATATTTTGGTAAGAATCGTATTCATCAGATTCTGGATTATTTTGGGATTCAGTTTACTCATTTTCGAGATTTGTTAATTCTTGAAATGTGTAATTGGGGTTTCCTGTGAATCTAAAATAAGGTTGATTTTGTCTTACTTGGCTAACGGGCTTTCGTGGTTGAATACTCACACCTGACATTGGTTGTGGGTATTGCTGCTGTGGTTTGGAATATTGAAAACTTTTCTGAGTAGAGTTTTGAGCTTGTGGCTTGAAAAATGATTGATTTGGCTGACTGGAAAATTGCCCTCGTGATTTAAAAAAGGTTTGATTTGAGAGTCTTGATTGATTTGTTGGAGTTTGTTTAGAAGTAGGTACTTTGATATTGATTAGTCGGCTTTTGTTGAGAATTGATTTTCGGTTCTCTGTACATTTTGTTTCATTAAACCATGCTTCTGCATGTATTGATTTTTGAAATGATTTTGGCTTGTTAGTTTCATAATTGGTTATTATATCAATAGCATTATCCAGATTCAGGTTTTGAACTATCAATAGAGTTCTTAACTCACTTTAGAGATTCGCTAATAAAAAAATTTGAGTTGCTGTTAATTCATTTTGTGCGATTACCTAATACTTTTCGAGATTCAATATTGGTAATTTCAGAACAAATTTTATTATTTATCTTAGTTTCTAAAGCTTCAAGTTTTTGAATGTAATCTTGAGTTGATTCAATTCTTTTTGATAAAAATATTAATTGTTGTTGTAAATTACCTCTGGTTATTGGGTCTGTAAACTTTTGCTGAAGAGCAGTTTTAATATCGCCCCATGTATTTAAATCTGATCTTGTTGAAAGAAAGTCTATCGGCATTTGATTAATTAAAGTTTCTAAACGCGTTAGCGTTCCATCAAAAGTTTTCAAAAGAGTTAATGTCTTTTTCCATAATTGCTTTCTATTGATTTTACTATAAAATTGTAAGTTCACTCTTGTTGATGTATATACTGTTTTGTTTTTCAAGAATTATATAAGAGTTTTTATCCCCATTATTAATTGATTTAAGAAATATACATATTTTTAATTTATAAAGGCCATTTAAGATTTAAATATTGAAGTATACTTTTCAAAAGATTTTTACTTATTGAGCACTCGAAAACTAAAAAGTTATCGAATCGGTAGAGGAAGAGCATTTTGATCCCCTTTGAAGCGAGCTCATATTTAATATGGCTATAATCGATAATTTGAAGCCATATCGGGATATTAAAAATATTTTCTGGCCAGAGCTTCATTTTCTGTTTAGCTCTGTAAAAATATTTTTCTATACGAAATGATGAAGAGGAGTCGTAGTTATTTCATCAATTTTTATCCGGAAAAGGAAACAGAAAAACAAATATTATTATTGACGAAAAGGAATCACGTCCAATAATATTTCATCTTTTTCATCATTCAAAAAAAAAATGTAAAAGTAAACTATCAATTTTGTTTTAAAGGGGGGAAATTTTTTCAATGCTGTCACTCTTTGGGTGATCTAAATAAGGATATTTTGCCATGATACCCAAGTGGACACTTGGAAAACTTATTTTTTAGATATTTTGCTTTATTAAAACTTTGGCGCTTTTCCTCAGAATGGAATTAAAACTATTTCCTACTACTTGGAGTTAGTTCTTCACTGTATATTGAATGCCCCTTAGAAAATCCCAAGGAGAATCCACAACTTTACCATTAGTAGAAGCATATTTAGCAATAAAAAAATCAATCCACATACAAATTATTTAAAGGATGGTGTTCGTTAGAAATCTGACAATAAAATTTCATCAAATTCACCTCTGCATGCGTCAAGCAAATCCGTTTAGAAAATTGCCTTTCAAATGCAAAGCCAGCGATAAAGATATCCGCTTCAGCAAATTTCGTCAAATTGGAGCATAAATCATCAGGGAATTTTTTTCAGTTCGAAAAGTTCAGAGGGGCGTATACGTATTCGCAATTAAAGCGGATTGCAGAAAATTCTTTTTTTTTTTCTTTGATTTATTATCTGTTCTGTTGCTCAAATTTTATTGTTTTTGATTTTTAGTTGAATTTTCCATCAGTAAATTCATTTTTCCGCGATTGGCAAGAAATGTCAGCATTTTTGACTGGTTGACAGGTCGCAAAACTCAATATTCTGGTATGTTAATTATGTTTCAATAGTTGCTAAGAAATCAATGAATAACAATACGAGAATCACTTTCCCAAGTGATTCTCGTACTGCTGAATAATTGGAACAAAAAGACAAACATTTACCAGATATTTAACTGATCGCAGAAAAAATAGTATTCCACCTAAATACACAATTATACTATTACGTATCTCAAAAACCATCATAAACAAATATTCAAAATGACCCTTCGAGTTTGCACATGTAAGTCATTAATTTAGAAACTCCGATTGCCTCTGCTGCTCTAAATCATCCGCTTTATAGACACTTATTATTCAATAGGTCTCTAAAATGCCATATTCCAGAACTAATCACAAACTAAAACATTAATTAAACAAATACCTAGATTTTGCAAATATTCACCAGAATTAATAACTTACACCACACTGCCTGGAAATGTTCCACTTTTCAAACAACATTCGAGTATATTTGCTTTAACAGGGTTTGAGAACTAATTTGCAGCATATTTGAATGATCCAATTAAAATATTATCTTTTCAACAATTAAACATTTATTTACAATAAATTATCGATTTATCTTATTAAAATTACTAAGAAAAACCCAGGGTCACATGGGATGGAAAAATATACGATCCAGCTCAGTTTCGCACAAACGCTTAACCTCTTCTGTAAATAAAAGCAAAATAATTTTGCCACTAATATAATTTTTTAAAAAATCAACTTACCACTAATTCCAATCAAACTAGCATTTTTCTGCTGCAAAACAATGTAAAATTCTCTCAAATTTGAAGTTTTACTAAATACCCAATAATCATTTGTTGTTTTAACAATATTTTCACCATCCAAACCCAAATACGAATTTGTATGTTTCATATCGCTCATAACTCGAAGAGAATCTTTATTACACGTTACGTTACCAGTGTGTTTGTTATCCAAATGAACCTAAGTTAATTTGTTTCAATAAATGTACACAACTGAATATTAAACTTACTGAACTTTTATATGCCAAATTCAATTTATTAAAGTAAATAAATTTGGGAGTCTCAGGCGTACTTGATGGCGTCACAACTTGTTTGGAACAATATTCAGCTATATCATTAACTATTGACGATAATTTCGGATTTATAAATTCATCAAGAGCCTTGAAATCGTTCAAAGCTAGTTCAGTTTTACCTAAAAGAGATACAATAATAATAAATTATTATGATTAAAATGAATATCTACCTTCAATAAAAAAACATACAGTAGCACTAAGCGCCCTATAAACAACCAAATGGTATTCCCTAACTTGTCCCTGAGAAAACAGGTATACTTTAGGTACTTTGCCAATTGTTTTTGCCTGTTTTAGATTCGTAGGACCAGTTATAAATCTACCATGATGCAACGATATAAAAGGAGATGCCGTATTCCTAGGCATCGAACCACCCTGAAGTTCGGTTTCTACATTGGCAGGCAACAAGGTGCCGGTTAAATATTGGTAGATCATTTGCATGTCATTTGGTTCAAGTCCACTCCTAGAATTTCTTTTTTTTGTATATTTTGTTGAATTCATACTCAAACATTTACCATATAATGTGTTCGTTGTAGAGAAACGCAGTATGCGCAATGTAATTCCATTTTGATTCAATGAAATTAACAAAACATTGGATATTAAGGAATGTTTGTCTGTCTAGTGGTAAATATTGGATTCCGCCAAATATAGTTAAAATGTCCAGGTTGGAGATTTTTATGCTTTTCAAATACTAAAAATACTTGATGTGATTGATGGAATTTAAACTTCAATCAACTTCTTACTGCAGTAAAAAATATCTCCATTCTAAGTTTTAACGTATCCAAATCATTTTTGTCCAAAGTATTTTGAAAAGTTCCCCAAAATAACCTGTACATGTAATAGGCCTGTTTAAGTGCAGCCTCGTACACATTATCTTGCAAATCTTCTTCTAAATACTCCACAGAAGTTGCATTTTCTTTTACCTTAGTTACTATTGGTAAGGTTAGAGTCTAAAACAAGTTTTTCTTTTTTTAAATAATCAAACAAAAAATAAAATTAGTTACCAATACAACCCAGAAATCAGGCTCTGGTTGGAAATACAGTTGTCTCAATTTGCTTGTATGTAGAGAACTTACAGGACTGCTTGGATTAAATGTTCTAAAACATAGAGTATATCACTACATACTGTTTGTACGTCTGTTTGCTTTAAAATAAACTTACTGAGTAAATTGTACAATTCCTTCCACGAGTCCTACATTATCTTCTTGAACTCTTGTATTATCAGTTGATGGGTAGTAATAAAGTATTTTTTTAAGTTGCTTGAAACAAATTGAAGATATTGTAATTTATTAATAATAATATATGCAAATGTTTTTATTGTATTTTTTTCAATTTAGGATTAGATTTCCCAGAAAAATTTTAGAGTGTAATACCGTGTGTAATACCGACCTCTAAATTTTGAGAGCATGCGCACTCATTGGGCAACCAAACCAAATGCCCAAGAATTGTCAATAAAGTATAATAATTGTTACTTAGCACTGAAAATTAGGTATAATAATTGTTACTTATGGCCATTTGCACCGACCATTTTAAGGAAGCCATAGCGATAAGTATTCCTTAAAATGATATTTTTACATGAAGAAATGTCACTTTAAGGAATACTTCACTACTTAATCACTCAGCAAACTGAGCCACAGGGATGGTCTCGACCTCGGTCTCGACCATACGTAGTGCCAATCTACAAAAAAGGAGACAAGCTCAACCCTGTAAATTACAGACCAATTAGCCTTACCTATAACCTCTGCAAGAACATGGAATAAATAATACCCACTCACCCGATACGAATTTCTCCCCCAACGAGCTTCACAAGCAACCTACTCAATTGCAAATGGGCATTACTCTGATAAATACAAGCTCCTTAGTGGGGAGCCACACATATACATCAGCGATCTTCATTCTCTTATAAAGACAAACATCATTTTTTATGCTGATGACACAAAAATATACTGCAATCCGTGCTTGGAGTATCAACCTTTTGGACGACTTGAAAACACTCGATAAATGGATCAGCAAATGGCAGCTAACACTCAACCCCGACAAGTGCAGTGTACTGCACATTGGCCCTAAAAATCCAAACATACCTTACAGCTTAAACGGAACTATCGTGAAAGCTGTCACTAACCAGAAAGATCTGGGTGTCATTATCTCAAATAACCTAAAATAGGAAGCCCATATTTCTTCAGTTGTCAAGAGGACAAACTCTTTTGTATACCTACCTCATACAGAAAGCTTTTAGTGACAAATCCATCCCCCCGATTAGCAAAATATATAAAACATAATAATATATCAGACCTAAATTGGAGTTCGCACATTCGGTTTGGAGCCCATACTTGGTTAAGGACATTGAGATCTTGGAAAGAGTCCAGCGTAGAGTGGCAAAACTGCCCCCTGAAATCAGAAATCTCTCGTACGAAGAAAAACTACTGAGATATCACATAACAACCCTGAAAGCTAGACGAGACAGAGGGGACTTGATTGAGAGGTACAAAATCTTAAATCACCATTATTCTCCAGATTTGCAACTGAACATTTTCAGATAAAATACTAACCAGCAACTCCGAGGCTGGATAAGGAGAGATGCTCAAAGCTGATCAGAAAGAATTTTCTGACGAAAAGGGTTGTCTATCAGTGAAACGCCCTTCAGGAAAACACATTCAGTGCTCCTTCAAAGAACACATTCAAAAACAGACTTGACCAGGATCTGGAGCGAGCTAGACTGAATTTTGTGCATTACATGTGACTCGTCGTGACAGTGAAAACAAGGATATAACAATATAGCAGTAGTCACAGCGGCGTTGCTGCTTGGCCCTTACTGATGCTCAAACCTATAATAATAATAATAACTTATCGCTAAGGCTTCCTTGAAATGGTTGGTGTAAACGGCCATTAGAACCTTCGACCTGTAGAACTGACAATTATATTAGCCATAGTTGTCACTTGGAGGCCTTGGACACAGTTGTACAACTCTCCATATTTTTTGAGGCCAAATTCTCCAAACAATAGGAGCATTTTGTCCCATATCTTGCGCATGCGCTCAATGAGTGAACAAATCTCTCAAATTGAAAAAGCAGTTCGGCATATACATGTCTCTTTCCAATCCTGCACGCAAAAAAGAGATAGAGATAGCTTGGGTGAGAACCCGCGAGAAATAACTGTCAAACGAGACATGCAACAGGATTGTATTACAAAAAAAGAAGAGAAGTTTTTTGACTGAAATTATTCAGGAAATTGAAAAGTTACCGGAAAATTCATCAATTTGAAATTCGGCTTAAGAGTGTCTTGATTTCCATGTTATTCGCGATTTTTGTGTACTTGACTGTTTTATCGTTTATATATTGTGTATTATCATGGTTGCTTCCTGTTTTGTCTGTAAAAACAACGCTAGAACTAGCCCAGGCTTAGGATATTTTAGTTTCCCGAACGATGAACGACTGTAAGTATTTATATTTACATATTTCATATTAGGTTTACTCTATACATTCACATAATCGTTGTTTATTATTATATGATCCTGTTATATTCTCAATGTTAATCCACAAAAAATCCTAGTCCGACTCTGTCCACGGCCCAGGATTCCTTGTTTCCGATCAATAATGCGCAAGCGCGAAATATAGGAACATAGAATTTGGCTTCAAAAAAATCCATGGTTTGTCAACGGAGTTGAACAACTGTATCGGTACGGTATAAACTGTGCCTTGGAGCTGACAGTTACGGCGCTTTCTTTTATTCAGCGATGGATCCATCAATGACCAGTCTATCTTTGTCTAGTTCGCAGAAAATCGGAATGGCTGTCCCATAATGTTGACAGCAGATGGATCCATTGCTGAATAAAAGAATTCGCCCTTAGATACAGCAAAAAATATGTAAATTGGGATGACATTAATTATAGAAATCGCGTAGTCTAGTCAGAGGCACCTGCATTCTTCCTGGGAGGTAGCCTACCGCAATAATTGAACCTATAGACGCGTGCCGAACTAAATTATCATTTTGGACTACCGTAGCGATATTTCCTCGCTGATTATATTTTGTATAGTAAACTTACAATAGATTTTCAATGAAGTTAATGGAAGAGAGCAACGTGATATTGAAATATCCTTTTATAATTTAGGGTTTCAAGTCAGAATAAAAATACTATAGTGACAATTAGCCATTTGGTGCTGACAATTAGCTATAATTGTCACTTAGAACCGAGCTTAGAACTGACAATTAGTTATAATTCACTCGAAACTGGCAATAGGGAACTTGACAAAAAATTTAAACATGAAAATATTACTATAAATCATAAGAATACATTAATTAAAACCTATATCAGCGAAGAATAGCTATTTATATAACAAGTACATAAAGTAAGGCTTTATTGTACGAATAATTTTATGGCCGAGCGAGCTTGCGAGCGAGGCTATTAAATAATGAGTCAATAAAGCCTGTTTATGTAAGCGTTATATACATGATTTTATGTACGATTCTGACTGGTTTTTGTTAAAACATAAAAAAATTGAATGAAAAAAGTAAAATTCGCGTAGATATACCTGTTTCACCTTGGCAGGTTGTCAGGACCTGTTTCACTTTAGTAGGTTGTCAGGACCTGTTTCACCTTATCAGGTAGTCCAGGTAGGCAATAAAATAGCACTTTATTTTACTAGTAAAATAAAGTAGCACTTTATTTTACTAGTACAATAAAGTCGTGGTACTTTATTGACACAAAACTGTTCTATCCGTGCGTTCGTTATTTTGGTCTGACTTCTCCGAGCTTGACTTTACCGTTCGTTTATTTAAAAAGTGTACTCGGTGCAGCCTCATTCGCGTTCTTTATTAAAATTTCCGGTACTTTTATACAGCGTTCAACTGCTCCGTTCGCTCGCTGGTCACGTGATTACGGCTCCGCTCAGCTCGCTCTACACTTTGAGCAAAATACCAAACGCAAGGTATAAATAACACTTTATTGGTCAAGCGGACATAAAACATTTTTTTTTGTCGCAAACAGCCACAATAAGGAATTAAAAATGCGGAAAAATTCAAATTATTTTCAGTGGGAAAAAACGCTCTGGTACTGGTCGTGACGTCATATAGTATGATCTGTCAGTGTCTGTCAGCAACCGTCCATCATACCGTGAGTTCGTCTTGAAACACTGAGCGCTCGGAGCATTTTCCCTCTTTTTTTCTTATGATGAGAAGAACAGGGATAAAAGAACAAAACTCTACATAATAAATACCCGTTAGCTGTGTTTATTTACGTTTTTCTCTGATTTTTTAAAATTTTATCATTATTAGAATTGGTTTACTTAGCTTAAATTCAATGATTAGCTTAGCATTATATAAATAAAACGATATACCTATTAATTATGACCGAAGAAGGAAATTCCAAAGGCCAATCTGCCAATCTGTAATTTGTGATATGTTTATAGTAGCAAAAGTAAGTATGTGCGAATCTTTTTTTCCATTATAACTTAAAAATTTACAACTCGCCGGAACCCAAAACAACAACAAAACAAATAACGGTGGAAAATGTGGAAATCAACCAAATTAAATACAATGAAGTATGACGTTTGACGACAAGGTGAAGCCGGCGCCACACGATGTGTCGAATGCCTTCCAACAGGATTTGTGGCATCGTGTAGCCGTGCGCTCATCGGATACATTTGCCGAATGCTAGAGCAAAAAGCACTGTACCCAACGTTGGATCTAACGTTGGGGCCAATGGTTGGACACATCGTGTGGTGCCGGCTTAACGCAAAATCATACTACGTGACGTCATCCAGATTCGCGCCCACTTAAGGTCGTTTGAAATGCTTTTAATTCGCGCGAAACTTTAAACATTTTTCACCAAGTTATTATTGAATTTTAGGAAATAATATTTGGGGAATACTCTTTCAAGGCATAAATAAATGATTTAAAAAAAAAAGAAATTGTAAAGTTCCCTATTAGACATACAATCTGAGTTAGGGCCGGTTTCTCAATAGCGATTCACCTCCGGGCTAATTTTAACTCCAGGGTAAGCGTGTCCATTAGTCCAGTTGTTATGTTTACCCCGGAGTTATGCTTAACCCGGGGGTGACTTGCTATTGAGAAACCGGCCCTTAGAGGTCAGTTCATCTACAACTAAATATTCACAAAATGCCACCCATGTTTATTTGTAATGACTTAAAAAGATATAAATAATTATTCTCACATCTCCTTCCAAGTCTCCTTCCTTAGGTCCAAAGGCTGAGTTAAAAATGAAAAAACTTTGTAACTCTATTTCCTTGTTCATGCCTCCCATTTCAAATTGATGGAAAATTGAAAAAAAAAAAAAAACCTCTGAAGTAAATGGCAATGGAAATTTTAGTAATTTAATTTCTACTCGAACTTCATTTGATATTAATTTCACTGAATACTTATTCTAAATTAATTTTGATAATTAATAATATATTTTTATTTTTCAGGGATTTGGAATTATAATAAACAAAATAAACAGAAAACAGCTGACCATGACCTGACACTCATGACAGGCGACAGGCAGAACAGACCGTGCGTTCGGTATTTTGATCTGAGTTCTCCGAGCTTGAATTTACCGTGCGTCTATTTAAAAAAGTGTACTCGGTGCAGGCTCATTCGCGTTCGTTTATTTCGGGCAATTTGATACCGCGTTCAACTGCTCTGTTTGCTTGCTGGTCACGTGATTGCGTCTCTGCTCAGCACGCTCTGTACTTTGAGCAAAATACCGAGCGCAAGGAGACAGGAGAAAGGAGAATTCAAGAAGAGTCCGTCCGAAATCTTTTTCACATAGGCCGCTTTCCAGCTGTGTGCTTCAAGCACAGTGCAGCACACTGTTCTGTGTTTGAAACGCAAAACTTAGCAGCTTTCGAAGCGCAGTACGGCTGGAACAAGAACACGCGCTTGAAGCATTTGCGCGCGCAAAAGCTCCATTGTGTGCTCAAAATGGTCAGCTGGAAAGCGGCTGTATTCGGCTCAGCTCCTGTCTTGGCGGTGACGTCACAGATCTCTGCGGGAGTGCTGCGAGAGCGATTATAATCCAAACAAGGGCACACCATTTGGAATCAATAGCCGAACGTTCTTTTGAGCGGTTCGAGGATGGATCAAACTCTTTGATCCACCAAATTTGCCGGAGCAAGAAACAGCGAGCGCTCCGTACGAGATTTGAGAGCGTTCTATCTATTGCTCAAGATGAACATGTGAATCGCTCCATTTTAAATCGAACATGTGAATCCGTTTCAGATCGCTTTTTGATAATTCGAGTGCAGTCTTGAGGCCAAAGGCGAAAGCGCTATTCGAAAGACACACAAATTTTCTTCTCGGAAAAAAAGGATGCACAAGGGTGTATACGTTAGGTATGTTCTCACAGGAGTTTCTGATAGTTTGCAAAGTGTCAGAAAGCATCACACATAAGTTGTATTCCTTTCGAGAGTTTAAAAGACTCGAGCTACTCGCTCCGGTGTTCAGTCGCCCCCAATTTGCAGGGTACAGATGCGTGGTGCAAGTTGTAACAAACACTTTTCGAAAGGAATAAGGGCGTGAAGCCCCGGAGCTGTTCCGGAGCTCCTCCTAGGTGTGAAAGGAATACAACTATAGGCGCGTTCGTATATTCCCTCGAAGTGCGGAGCGTGTGGGGCTTGAGCTACCTTAGACAGAGGTCAGCTGATCATCGAGCAAACCGAGCTTGAAAATCTTGAAATAAAAAACGAACGGGTTTGTGTATCTCGAACCATACAACAGCTGCGCTCTGTGCGCACCATACGCTCGAAATTTTGAATGACGTTCGTTTATTTTCTTTCGAGCGTGTCGAGAAAAACTTTTCGCGTTCGTAAATACGTCGAGAGAGTGTATCGAGCTCGCTCGATTCGCTCCGAATTTTTTGATGGTGTGGAGTGTGCAGCGAGCGTCAATTTAAAAAAATTCTAAACCTACTAAGCTAATAAAAGTAAAATTGATTTCCTTCGTGCGTGCGGAAAAAGGCGTTTTCACGCACCGATTTGCGTGAAAGTACCACTTTTCCGCACAGCGTGCATGAGAACAAATTTACCGCACGAAAAGTTTTTCACGCACTGTTTTTTTTTTCAATTTTTCTGTCACCATAAATAATTAATCCTACTCATAGGTAATAAAAATAATTGTTAATATGCTGTTATTATAAACTTATAGCTTAAACTTAATTAAAAAATCACATTTTTGACCATTTCCTTTATCAGTAGAGCAAAAATCAAACAATTTCCGTACGCTCGTAGGAAAAATGTTGTACCTAACACGAGCGTAAGGTATTTTCCGCACTTACGGTTTGCACGAACTCCGCTGGCGGGTTCCGTTGCGTGTGTAAAAATATAACTACCCACTTATCCACACTTGTTAGGTGAATAACTATTTGGTTTTTGTTATTTCAAAGTTGTTAAGTTTTGTGAGTGTATGACTCAATCGAATTTTCGTGACGAATGTAGTTCATTAGCTTAAATTTTGTATTACAAGATCCACCAGAGATGCTGGGTTTTGTGCATGGGCGAAGTTAGGGCATCAGATCTGGGGGAGCTACAGCCCCAGGCCCATAGGGGGAGGGGAAGGCCCGCCGCAAACGCTGCCTGAGTCAAGAAAAATTTTGGGGTGCCACGCCCAAAAACGTTCATTTCGACCCACAAAATGAACGATTTTGGGCGTTCTGAGCCTTCAAAAAATAAACAAATTATTGTTTATTTCTGAAAGTACAAATAATATTGAACTAAATAAAGAATTTAAAAATGGGCCATATGGATCTCTGCAAAACAACATCAGAATTGGCTCAAATTAGGCATCAACATTGAGACTGAACCGGAAATGTTTAAATGCACATACCTAGATTTTTAAAGTATGATAATTGAAAATAGGTGTTAGTATGTTTGGTTTTTTGTAATTTCTATTTTCTGATATGTGTGTGTGCCTTAAGTCGTGAGCATAAAAAGTGGGACACCTGACTGACAGGTCTTGTCTTTTTTCGCTATTTTGGGCCGGTTTTCTCAATTATACTTCCTTTCACACCTAGGAGGAGCTCCGGAACAGGTCCGGGACTTCACGCACTCATTACTTTCGAAAAGTGTTTGTTGCACCACGCATCTGTTCCATGCAAATCGGGGGCGACTAAACACCGGAGCGAATAGCTCGAATGTTTCAAACTCTTGAAAGGAATACAACTTTTAGCAAGTCACCCCCATGTTGATTCAACTCTGGGGTTAACGTGTCAAATTGCAATGTTTACCCTGGAGTTAGCTTAACCCGGAGGTGACCTGCTATTGAGAAACCGGCTCTTTGAATAAATCAGTATTTTCTCTAAAATGGATTTTTTGTCGAATATGACAATCCCTGTCATTGCCATAGGTATAGCTGATGAGCTCGGTTTACAATAGGAAAAAACGGGTGTCCCACTTTTTATCCTCACGACTGTACGAGATTCGAATGTCAAAGTTGTCAAACAGCGTTAACCGGAATCGCATTTTGTAAGCAACGAAAACTCCCTGCCGTCGTTCTATGATAAATCGGTAACTTAGTTGAGCGATTGTTTCTGACAGGTTGCAAACTGTCAGACACTCTCGTGAGAACAGACCTATAATTTCCTTAAGGTTGGTTTCTCATTACCGCGTCACCTCTGGGTTGTTTTTAACCTTTTAAGGGCCGGTTCCTCAATAGCGAGTCACCTGCAGGTTGGTTTTAACTCCAGGGTAAGCGTGTCCAGTTTACCTTGAAATTATCCTTAACCCGGAGGTGACATGCTATTGAGAAACCGGCCCTCGGGGAAACATGTCCAGTTGCGAAGTTTACCCTGGAGCTATGCTTTACCCAGGGGTGAATTGCTATTGAGAGACCGGCCCTTAATAATACAATATACTATTACAGTCATAAATAAAAAAGGACGGTTCTAAAACGGTCAAAACAATCGCACAGTTCATAATGCCCGTATTACATATCTGTGTATTTTTCCGTGTATTTATTCATGTAGTTCAGGGTGACAACCGAAAAGCTTCAAACGCAACATAAATCAGCATTATCAAAAACAAAATAATGTTGGCACCCTGAAATACATGAATAAATACACGGAAAAATACACAGATGTAATACGGACATTATTCAAATTTGTGATAGCCTAGCCGCAATGCCTAGCGGGTTGTGGCCTAGCCGGTTGTCATTTTTGTTGATTGATAAACTGTGCGATTGTTTTAAACCGTTCTTTTTTCAAATCCGAACGGCTAATAATTAAGAAATTTTTCGCGAGGATAATCAAGCATAATCGATTATGCTGGGCTGGTTTCGGGTGACACCCTTTGAGCGTCCCGAGATACTCTACAGTACTCCGGCTACAATTTGACCCGTTCGGTTTCAAGCGTTCGAGTGCAAAACTCATGGACTGTGACAAGGTGCTCTAGGATCTTCGCACTCTGCACTCGAAAGTGGCTCTGGATTAGTTAGTTGTATTTCTTTTACACCTAGGAGAAGCTCCGGAACAGCTCCGGGGCTTATTCCTTTCGAAAAGTGTTTGTTGCACCACGCATCTTTTCTTTTCAAATCGGGGTCGACTACACACAATATTGGTGTTTTCTTTTAAATTTCTCTAAATAGAGAAAATAGAAAATTCAAGAGCTTGGAATAGAAACAAAATACTTCTGAACAATTTTTTCTCTTGAATTTCTCTTCTTTATTACCCATTTTTCCCGCGTAATTTTTGTCTATTCCCGGCTCCTAAATGTCTCATTTTTTTTCTGAATATTTGTTACATCTCTTCTCTCTATTTTTCAATTTTCCTATCTGTTTATTCTCGGCTTTTGAATTTGCGGAAATAAAAAAATTTCAAGAGCTTGGACCAGAAAAAAACAAGAATGTTTACTTATCTCCAATTTTCTCTTAATGTTTCTTACATTTTTTGTCTCTATTTTTCAATTTATCTTTTTTCCCGGCTTCTCAATTTGTCGAAATAAGGAATATTCAAGAACCTGGAATAGAAAGAACATGAAGACATCTACCAATTTTTTGTTTTCTTCTAAATTTTTTTAAATATGGAAAAAATTCAAGCGCTTGGAATAGGAACAAAGTACTTTGTGTCTACCAATTTTCCTCAATTCCTCTTGAATTTCTTCTATTTCTCAATTTTTGTCTATTCCTGGCTCTTGAAGTTGTTGAAATAAAAAAAAGATCCTGCGATAGAAAACAGATGAAAACGCGCTTATTTACCAAATTTTCCTTACTTCTCTGTATTTCTCAGTTTAACCATCTCAATTTTTGAATTCGTATCGATGAGCAACATCATTATTTAATCGATGAATTTTATTGATAAGCCTTCCTCTAAAATATTTCCTTGTGTGGAAATTATTCTTAACGCATTCATCAGTCGCATAACAAAAATAATAAGAATTATACTTTAAAACAATATAATATTAATACATAACTAAAGTAACTAAATCTTTAACATTTTTAAAATGTTCAAATACATTTTTTAAAACTGAGCAATTTCTATTCTAATATTAAGGTTTCACTCAAAAATTGAAACATAACTTAAAATTAAATAAACGCTGTGTCTAGCCTCCCGGCACCGGTATTCATAAGAATCTCGGTTACGATGCGTTTTCAATGACGTCCATCAACGACCGCTGGGATTTATCGTGGATCCCGGCTATTGGATTCAAAATTCAAAGTCGTATTTCACTTGCTGCTTGAGGCTGTAAATAATTCCGGAATAGCTTTTGTGTATTATTGTTTCTTGTTGTAATATTGGTATTGGTAATAATACTTCGCTAATCCACTTTTCGTAGTAGTGGTTTAAAAAGCGAATAGTATGGTTTATTTTCATTCATTATTCGGGACTATAGCTTTTTTAACACTGAAATAGGGTACTTTCGGACCCATGTTTATAGGAACTTATGCTCTTCAGATGTAGAATCCGCAGTTAAAATATTAACCTCTAATTTTGGGGAACCCTGTGTGATGTTGCTGAACAATAACGGCGTTGCTGTACAAGATCAAATGCTAAACAGACTTCCAAAATGCTGTAAAATTCAGCGAAATCACAGAATTATCCGCGGCGAAATGCTGTATGTATGCTATTATGCCTTCTATGGAGACATATTAAATTTACAACGTTGAAAAAAATACCAAAATTTTCTAAAAATTGGATTTGTTTGGAGTGTAAGCTGTGCATGAACAATTGATACCAAAAAGTTGTAGTGATTATTTCAGAATTTATACTTATGTTCGAATTATGCCTATGTATTCTATGTACATATAATAAAATTCATAATTTTATTTCCCATAAATAAAAGCTTATCGCGCCCGACTTCGTGTACTTTTTTTACCCTACATAATAATTCTGCCCCAATACCAATGAACATAATAATTATTAACATCTTGTATTGCAATAGCCGGGATCCGCGACAGTTACCGGTGCTTGTTGATGACGTCACTGAAAACGCGTCATAGCCGGGATTCATATGAATACCGGTGCCGGGAGGCTAGACACAGCGTTAAATAAAACTTTTTTACATGGAAGGCAAAAATAAAAACTTTTAAATTAAGGCACCCTTTAAGCTAGGTACCTACTATCATAAATTGAATAGGTAGGTATAAAATATGTACCTACTTTACATACCTAATACATAATATAAAAATATGTAATTATTGTATAACATACATTTCTAACAATATATAACAGTCATTGGCATAAGCTAATAGTGTTTCAACAAAGCATCGCAAAAATATTCATTTAAAAGTCGTTGATGATAATTTTGCACAAAAATCATTTTCTATTTGGATCCATCCAATAAGAAATTGTAAAGCTGCTTTATTCGCACAACCAATCACAAGGCAATCTGGGCATTTTGTTGGCGGGCCAAGGCAGATAACCAGCCGTTTTGAACACCCAGTAGTCGTAGGAGACTTTTGTGATTAAGCCTGGAATTCAAGGATATAAATGTTTTCAGTAATGTAATTTATTTATCAAAACTTGCAAGATGATTTTGCTACATTTCTAACACATTGGTACATCTTCTCACAATGTATCAAAATATGTATTATTTATTTTATTATTTGATGATTATACAAACGCAATAGATATCTTGCTAAATAGCTGTCTAGATCCCCTAACTTATTAACTTCAATACATTTTTTTATTTGGACTCACCTACTAACAAAACAACTTCAGCTGTAATAATATAGTAAATATAGTCGGTCCAATCTTGTGAGCTTTGGCACATCTTCGATGCATCTAATTCAGTTACTTTTACGTTAATATTATCGCATTTTATATTATCGTGATCTGGTATGTGGCTGAGTTTTGACAACAACCACGCCTAATAAGAAAACATTATTGCTATTAAACCACAAATAAAACATAAATAAACTTACCTTTAATTTCATAGTGTTACAGTCGCAATTAATTTTATTGTACCCTAAATAAATATTTCTTATGTTTATGCTTACTCTTTGAAATTCTACATTATCCAGAACGTAAGTTTCAAACTAAAATTATAATATGTATCTTCATTATTTTGATAAGTTTTGACAATTTAACTCACAATTTTGATTCTATTGCGTGATAAGCTTAGCGTATCAAAATTGCTTATAAATTTTGTTCCCTCCAAAGGCTGAATTGAAGAAATTTGATTGTCGTCAGCAAAAAACCATCTCAAATTTTCATAGGACGGATCGCTCATTTCTTTAATGGACGTTATCTGAAACAAAAAAATACTTGTACAGGGTGGGCGAATTTGGACACTTTCTTATGGAAACACCCTTTATTTTTAGAGACAAAAAAAAATGAACCCCCCACTCTGAAGCTCAAATTTCATGAAATTTTGATTGGTGCAAACCGCATTTTGATATCTTCAACCGTTTAGCCGCTAGACGGCGATTCTCGATTTTGAGCAATACTGTGAAACCTTCATAACTTTTTTATTTATGAAAATAATTAATTTCTGTAAAGACTTTCTGGAAGCACTTTTTTAAGTGGAATTCAGTGACGTTCTCAGCTTTTTTCTATTTAGCTCCGACTCCGAGATATTGACCAAAATCCGATTTTTTTCAATAGGACATCCTATATATTAATAGCTCATTGAAAAGCTCTGCTTTTGCTGATTTCAATGATATAAAATTCAATGGGTTTATCTCCAACGGTTTCCGAGAAAACAATTATTTCGATTTTTGTCATAAGACACAATGTGTTGGAAAAGGACTTTATATCTGTAAGGAAAACGAGAAAGGTCTCTTTCTAACACATTGTTTCTTATGACAAAAACAGAAATTTTTTTTTTCTCGGAAACTGTTAGGGATAAACCTATCGAACTTTATATCATTGAAATCAGTAAAAGCAGAGCTTTCCAATAAGCTATTAATATATAGGGTGTTCTATTGAAAAAAATCGAATTTTGGTCAATATCTTGAAATCCGAGTCAATTAGAAAAAAACTGAGAACGTCACTGAATTCTTCTTAAAAAAGTGCCTCTAGGAAGTCTTTACGGAAATCAATTATTTTCATAAACAAAAAAGTTATGAAGGTTTCACAGTATTGCTCAAAATCGAGAAACGCCCTCTAGTAGCTAAACGGTTGAAGATATCAAAATGCGGTTTGCACCAATCAAAATTTCATGAAATTTGAGCCTCAGAGTGGGGGGTTCATTTTTTTCTATCTCTAAAAATAAAGGGTATTTCCATAAGAAAGTGTCCAATTTGGACCACCCTGTACAAATCATCCCGGAAACTGTTTTCACTTACATTATTATGGCTAACATCCAACGATATGGTTTTATCAGGCAGAGGCACTGGCAAACTGAGAAACTTTTTCCCAGAGCAATTTACAGCCACCTGGTAAGTTGAACTTTTGCCTTGCAAGGATACGTACCTGTCAATTTTACAAGTGCAGTTACGGTGGCAGTTTTTCTGCAGCTAATAATAAAAATTATTAAAAATTGCATGAAATAACAAAATTACTTACCTCGTGACCAGCTTTGACTTGAGAAAATGGCAAAATATCTGCTGACTGAAACCAATCGTAATCTTTGGTTGTGATACAAAACGTCTGATTTTCGCTGATAAAAATTATTTCGGGACGGCTAATGAGCGTATTTGTTAGTTTTGAGCAAATGAGATTTGTATTATCTATAAAATTGAAATAAGTAATTAATAAAACAACAAATTGACAAATTCTTACTCGATATATCTAAAGTAACACTCTCCTTCCTCACACTAGGAAGTTCAGTCAAATTATTGTGCGAAAGATCCAAAATACTCAAATTGTACAGTGTTCCTAGCGCTCTATCTTCAATAGCGTTGATATGGTTCGAGGATAAGTTAAGGCACGAAATTCTACTATGTTTGGCAAACTCTCCGTCGATTCTGCTTATGTTTCCATCTGTGATGGTCATGTAACGCAAGTTTCTCCATACTGAGTTTGATAGTTTCACGTTGAAGGACTCAAATGTCGCGTTACGGATATGTAATGATTCTATACCACCTACAGCAGTTATATCTGGAATAGAATAAGGAGGAATTTGTGAAGGGGTGTGAAACTAAACTTTTCGATCAGGTTTTCTTGCATTTCGTATTATTATTAGTATGGATTTTTGTACTACAAATAAACTTGAAATATCTATTTTCTTTGAAATCTAATACTGTATTTTGTTTTAAGAAAATCAGGATTGATTATATATGTATCATGAAGTTTTTCTTTTTTTTCAACTAGAAACCTACTGCTGAAACAATGTTGCATAAAACTAGGCGAGAGTTTTAAACAAACATTTTCATATAAGTGTGAAATAAACCAATTAACATCAACATATTTTATGTAGATTTTAATACGTACATGGGCCAAATAATAGTCAAGATTGTAGTGTGCTCTGCATATTTTGAACAGGTGAGCTTTTATATTATTCATCAGCAAGCGTAAAGTTAAATTCCTATCTCTTATATTTCTATACTACGTAATTAAAAGATAAGAAAATTGTTTGGGAAATACAGATGATTAATTTTTTATGCATATTTTTGCAAGTTAGGCAAACTTATGTAGGTCGAGTTTTAGATGAGTGGAAAATTGAATAATAAATGCTTTAATAACTGGAATAGCTCGAAATTTGCTTTTACAGATTGACACAGGATTGAAAGATAATTCAAGCTTACAGAATTTATTGGGTAGGGTCTTTTAATCAAACAAAACAAACCGCGAGTAGATCTCAGACTCAAAAATGGAATTATCATTTTTTTTTTTTCTCACTTTAATGCAAAAAAATCTTACACAATTTCTATCAAATCACCTTTGAAAGGTTCTGAAAAATACTTCAACAGAGACTTCAACCAATCAGCAGGACTTCAAACTTTCAGGATTTATTAAGTAGGGTCTTTTCATCAGAAACAAACCGCGAGTAGATCTCAGGATCAGAAATGGAATTATGGTTTTTTTGTCACTTAGATGCAAAAAAATCTTGTAAAATTTCTATTAAATTACATTTGAAAGCTTCTAGAAAATAGTTCAAGAAATCGGAAGAACTTCAAACTTCCAGGATTTATCGAGTAGGGTCTTTTTATCAAACAAAAAAAACCGCGGTAGATCTCAGACTCAGAAATGAAATTATGATTTTTTTCTCACCTAAATGCAAAAAAAATATTGTAAAATTTCTATTAAATCACCTTTGAAAGCTTCTGAAAAATACTTCAAGTAATGAGAGAAACTACAAACTTTCAGGATTTATTGACTAGGGTTTTTTCATCAAAAAAAAACAAACCGCGAGTAGATCTCAAGCTCAGAAATGGAACTATGATTTTTTTTCACTCGAATGCATAGAAATCTTGCAAAATTTAAAATTTCTATTAAATTACCTTTGAAAGCTTCTGAAAAATAATTCAAGTAATCAGAGAAATTTCAAACTTTCAGGATTTATTTAGTAGTCTTTTTATCGAATAACACAAACCGCGAGTAGATCTCAGGCTCAGAAATGGAATTATGATTTTTTTCTCACTTAAATGCAAAAAAATCTTGCAAAATTTCTATTAAATTACATTTGAAAGCTTCTAGAGAATAGTTCAAGAAATCAGAGGATCTTCAATCTTTCAGGATTTATTGAGTAGGGTCTTTTCATCAAACAGCACAAACCGCGAGAAGATCTCAGGCTCAGAAATGAAATTATGATTTTTTTCTCACCTAAATGCAAAAAAATCTTGCAAAATTTCTATTAAATCACCTTTGAAAGCTTTTGAAAATCAGAGGGACTCCAAATTAACTTTCAGGATTTATTGAACATTCATCAAACAATGAAGCAATACAGTAGTCGAGCGTGTCAGACGTGTTTTGAAGCCGATCTAAAGTTATTGTGTTTTTGTGCAGTTAACATAAAATATTCTTTAGTAAAACTGCACCATGGGACTTAATGCCGATGGAGACAAAAACGTGGATAATGAGAACCTAGCTCAATAGTGTATTTCTAAAACAAAACGTATTTCTTCTGTGGGATCAATAAATCTAGGACGAGCACAAATAAACAAAATTATAGGTATCAATAGCAAAATCTATTCGCATTCCAATCAGAAAAAAATAAATTCAGACAATAGCTTATTTGTTCCAACCCAGCAGAAAACCGTAATCAGCAAACGCAAATTTAACACCGGATACAGTATTTAAGCCACAACAGTCATTAGCAAAAAGTCCACCTGAATCTACAACTTTCAAAGAGTCCACAGATGATAATAGTAATTTTAATTTTGTGAATTTAACAGATGAGTCAATGTATTGTGAACACCTGAATCCCCACAAACGATCTCGATCTGATTCAAGCCCAATATATATGGAGAAAAGCAAAGTTACAAAATGAAATGGTCTAGATGGTAGACAATCCAACTGGTAATAATTTTTAGACAGCAGCTCGGCGAAATCTTGGAATTATTTTTGCCTCCTAATTAAGCTTTGAGCTACATGTTTCTTATATAGTCAATAAGTCTCTTAGAATGTATGGATTTGTAATACGGAGCTGTAGGATGTTTCAAAACACAGACTGTATGAAAAGATTATATGTGGCATATGTTATAAGTATTTTAGAGTACTGTTCAGTGGTATGTAATCCATACTATAAAAACTATAAATATGACATAAAAAAGGTACAAAACAAATTTTTAAGATTCATACATTACAAAGAAAGTGGTGAGTATAGATTGCATATACCCAGAAGAGACATAATGAAAACCTACAAACTAAAATCTTTAAATAATCGGAGAAAAATTGCTTCCATTATGTTTATGTATAAACTAGTTAATAATTTCATTGCGGATCCTAATCTGATCGCGTATCTCAACTTTCATGTACCAAACTATAGAACATTTTATACAGGGTGATTTACGTAGTCCGTGCATTAGCTTGCAGGTGGATTGGATGCTATCTCTATTAATCCACCTGCAATCTAATTGAATTCTAATGCACGGGCTACGACAATCACAGTGTATAGATAATGATAATACTCGAACAAATTATTACAGCAATTCTCCCATTATTTCAATGTGTAAACTTTATAACCAATTTAGAGACAAATGTGATATTTTTAACCTAGGATTGGAAAAATTCAAGAAAAGATGAGTTAATGAAATTGAGATGTGAGAGATATCAGTTAAATCATGTTATGTGATGAAAGTAAACCAAGTACCACAAGTATGCTAGTTCCTAACACCTACTCTGTAATTGGATGTAAATCTGTTGAGTTTTTAAATAAATAAATAAATAAATAAAACAAAACAGATCTCAGGCTCAGAAATGGAATTATGATTTTATTCTCACTTAAATGCAAAAAAAAATCTTGCAAAATTTCTATTAAGGCCGCAACAACGTTGAGAATGCAGTGCTCTGATTGGTTGATTTTTCGAAACTTGTTTTAAGGTCTTCAAAAAAACGGCACATTAGAATTGGCTCAAATTTGGCATAAACATTATTTGATCGATTATCTACAATTCTTTATTTTGGTTTTTCGATATTCAGCCTTTTTTTTAAATTTAAAAATCATGTTCGCAACCACCAAAACAACTAAATAAGTTGGTGGTTGCATATTTGCATGTTTATCAAGCTTGGATCCGTGAAAAGCATATTTTGTTTATAACCAGGAAAAATTAAAAAACGGTAATTGCAGAGATTGTAGATAATATATCAAATAATCTTTTTCTACAAACGTCACTAAAAGTGTCATTTTTAACGGATGCTGTCAGTGTCTAAAATGCCATTTTATGACACTGGTGCTAAAAGTGATTACTTTTAGCACTAGTGCTAAAAGTAATCACATTTAGTGCGTTTCTAGAAAAAATAGTGTATGATATTCGTGCTAAAAGTGATTTAATTTTGTTCAAAGGGATGGAACACTCCGCCTTCGCCGTCGTGTCCCAAACTTCCCTTTTCACAAAATAAAATGTCACTTTCAGCACTTATATCATAAATAACTATTATGCCAAAGGATTTTGGAAATTGTTGCGGATTTTTTGAGATGACCTTAAAGCGAATTTTGAAGGTGAAAACAGTTCAAGAAATTTCAAGCAGATGGCGCCACGCAGAAAAGCTACATTGGGAGCATCATAATTGTATATTTGTCTTTTTCTTTCACTAAGTGTTTCACCGACAAACAGATATTGTTTTGGACAAAAAATAAAATATTGAACCGTATGTGTAGAGTGACACAGTCGTCATTTTCAAAAACTAAATTTAAACATGGCGGCCATTAACGCGGCCTTAAATTACCTTTGAAAAGCTTTTGGAAAATACTTCAAGAAATCAGAGGAACTTCAAACTTTTAGGATTTATTGAGTAGTCTTTTTATCCAACAGAACAAACCGCGACTGGATATCAGGCTCAGAAATGGAATTATGATTTTTTTTCTCACCTAAGTAAATGCAAAAAAATCTTGTGAAATTTTTATTAGAATACCTTTGAAAGCTTCTGAAAAATACTTCGAGTAATCAGAGGAACTTCAATCTTGCAGGACTTATTGAGTAGGGTCTTTTCTTTAAAAAAAAAACAAACCGCGAGAAGATATCAAGCTCAGAAAAGGAATTAGGTATGATTTTTTTTCTCAAACAAATGCATAAACATCTTGCAAAATTTCTGTTTAATCACCTTTGAAAGCTTCTGGAAAACACTTCAAGCAATCAGAGGGACCTCAAACTTTCAGGATTTATTGGGTAGAGTATTTTTATCAAACAAAACAACCCGCAAGTGGATCTCAGACTCAGAAATGGAATTATGATTTTTTTCTCACTCGCAAAAAAAATCTTGCAAAATTTCTGTTCAATCACGGAGATTCTAAAAAATACTTCGAGCAATCAGAGGGGCTTCAAACTTTCGGGATTTATTGAGTAGGGTCTTTTCATCGAACAAAACAAACTGCGAGTCATACGAGTGGATCTTAGGCAGAGTCTTAGGCTCAAAATAGTTATTTTTGTATCTAGTGCGCGAAATGCCACTTTGGTGATCGAGATCTGATTTTTTTAACGAGGCGCAGCCAAGTTAAAATAATAGTCGAGATCACCAAAGTATTTCGCGCCCGAGTGGCAAACAATATTTTTTCTACAACTCCATTTAAATATCGATCATTCGAAGCCAAAATTGAATTCTCAATCAAAGGTAGGTGAATTTTAATTATTTTTGGTTTTCCTGACAGGTATGTGTCACCATGATACCAGTGTGCGAACTGCTATTTCGCGCACTAGGGTGCGAAATAGCTAGTTCGCGCACGGCGTCATGGGAACGTTAAAAAATCAATACCTGGGAAAAAAAAGTGTCACTTCGCAAATTGTCATGAGTGTGCGAACATCATCATTTTTTGACAGTTGTAGAAAAATGAAACTTTTTCTCACTTTTACTAACTGATCAAAACCTTGACAACAACGTGCAATTTATGTGATGCAATTTCAAGATTATAATTAAAAAATATATAAATTTTTGTAAAGAAGAAAAATCAGGCTTTCTGGCGATGACAAAATATACAGAGTGTTTCATTAAAAATAACGCAGTCCTTTAAAAAAAAAAAAATCGCATGTCTGTAAAACCAAATTTCATCAAATTTTAGGATTCGGCAATACTGTGAAAAAAAAAAAAAACTTTGCAAAATCCTCAATCTCCCAGAATAAACCGCGTTATCTTTTCTCATCTTAGAGATATTTACCTGCAACATATGTCAGTTTATCTAAGGATACCCTGTATAGTAAATACTAATAAAATCCAGTAGAAAAAGAGAAGTCATACACAGCGCATTTAGGAAAAAGTGTAAGCATTGGAACATCCTACAGATGATTAGGCTTCAGACCAATACAAATCATAATATATTAGGTCTCAAAAATCCTGGAAGTTGCAGTGTAAAGACAAAATTTGGCAACACTGTAAAAGGTTTAAATCGTGCCTGAAACAAATCCTTATCTCATTTATGTATCTTTTTTGTAGATTGGTTTATTTTTGGTTGGTGACAAACGAGATATTCGTTTCAGCAGAGGCCAGAGTAGGATTTAAACACTTTACAAGGTTGCCAAATTTGATTCTCACACTCCAACTTCAGGGTTTTTTGAGACCTCCTTCATGAGACCAGAACCTATCTAGCACGTTGACTGCCACCATGGAAAGGCCAAATCAGGAACCCTTGTGCCAATTTTTCCTATATAGTAATTTCAACGTATTCTGATTCGTAGATAACAGAAATATAAGTAAAATAAAAAAATTGTGCAATTCTGTGAAATAAAAAGTTATGGGACAACATTTGTGCTACGCGGCACAGCTTGTGTGAAACTGTCCATTGTGCCTCAATAAACTAGTTCATACTGGTTAGAACTTGTGAGGTAAAACGAATTTGATTTTTATAATATTCATTTGTATTTTGTCAGTCGCGTTAATGTTTCCTTACGTCTATGAATACTGGCTATTTTTGTTAAAAAATAAACAATAAAACAAATATTCACTTGAAAAAAAAAATCGGAGGGTTTTGTAAAGAACGTCTTACTGTGCCACACTTAATCCATTTCTATAGAGAAAATAGGCAACCGTGAGCCCTCTGCTGTATCTCGCTGCATAAAATGGAAGAGAAACACGAGGCACAACATGGGAACCTCAACATACAGACGTGACATTCTTGTGAGGCACTGAACGCGTACCACATGGCAGTGAACGTGCTAGAAAACCATTATTTGCTTCTGTATGAAAATACAGTGAATTATAAGATTAGTCCTTACTCCCACAAGCTAGTCCCTCCTTGAGTGTAAAGTAATTAACATTGCAACAGATAGCGGCCTTTTGACAGTTCGGTAATCGGCGACATCTGCAGGTGCTTTCAGCAGATGGACATGCTTCAGGTGGTTGGTGGAAGCATTGATTGTTGCAACTGCTGTCGTCTGGCGGTAAAAGCGACCAAATTGGCGATATCAAAATCAGGCATATTAACAGATGAAAAAAATGCATCTGAAAAAAAAAATAGAACTTTTGATAAACTTGAATTGTTCACTAGAAAATTTTTAAAAGGTGAATCAATTGTAATTACTTTTATGACCAGTTGCGGTTTTGTGATAAAAATGTATAGGTGAAATTCGAACCCATTTTATCTTTGAAATTTTTAATTGATTCCAGTTAAACACACAATAGTAGAGATCAAATGAATGTATATACCTATTTAATTTTATAATAACCCAACATAATGTTAAAAATGGAGTAAAATGGTCATGCAATTTTTTTTTAAAATGGGTAGTTATTTACCCAATAAATCTACCATTATAAAATAATAGGTACTTGGTATTTTTAGGATTTCAACGCCCGGAATTTTCAAGGTGCTGCATTATTTTTTTTTGAATATACCTATATGGACTTCATAGGTATCTGCTTCTCCCCTCTTTAAGAATATATTCACTTCCGTGAACATTGTCGATGCGCATTTATTTCGCAATTCCACATTCTACGCACAAATGTTGAGCCTTTGCACAGAATCGTGACGATACATGGTACGGTTTTTCTGCTGCATTGGAACAAAATTATAAATAGCCTATGAGCCTGATCGATCAGTGTTGGCTGCGCTTTCTCTGAGTCATTATCGATAAGGAAATCGTAATTGTGATTTATATTTTCTAAAGCTCTGTAGTATTGTGTTGCTATTTAACGCGTATGTGCATAGGTAATCAGTGAATATTTACCTTTTTAATAGGTAAATTGAATTTGTGACAAATTATTTCGAGATGTCATGTCCTACCCCTGGAAAACGACGCATCGACACTGATGTCCTCGAGCTTATTGAAAGCAAACATGAAGTAACGTTGCTAAATGGACTGAAGGAGTTTCTAGTAAAATTCCGTGGACCCGCAGGTACCAGTTACGAAGGTGGAATATGGAACGTCAGAGTTCTCTTGCCAGAAAATTACCCATTCAAATCGCCAAGTATCGGCTTCACCAATAGGATATTCCATCCGAACATCGACTATAAATCTGGAACAGTGTGCCTGGATGTTCTCAACCAAAACTGGACCCCTTTGTATAACCTCCTGACTGTTTTTGAAATGTTTTTACCGCAGCTGTTGACTTATCCCAATCCTGTAGACCCTTTGAACATAACCGCTGCAATGCTGTTTCTGTCCAGGCCTGAAGCCTACCAGGAGAAAGTAGCTGAATATGTGAAGCAATTTGCTACAGAAAATGCCCTCGAAGATGCTGGGAATGCTACTTCTGATAGCGAAATGAGCGATATTTCTGATGTTCCAGAAAACGAAACTGAAGCCCTGGACATGGATATTTAATCACTATTTTTGTGCTCTGACTTATTATGTTTTTTTATTTAAATATTTATCCATATTATTATTTAATGTTGTGTGAGAGCTGGATTCATAAACTTGGGGTCATATTTTTGTATTTTCTATTACAACTTTTTTGTCTGCAATATATAAATAATTCAAAAATAAGACAATTTATAGCTTCTTTGGACAATTGTTTTAAATTATTTTAATTAACGCTGACCTTTCGCCACTCTTTTTCATCATCAGAGTAGATAAGACAACCTGGTGTACCTATACGAAATGTAAAAATTCTAAATTATTTAACTGGATGGTAACTTGTATTGGCTTATTTTTGGTCCAGGAACCTCAATCTTGGCGCCAACCCAGTTTAAAAATATGAAATTTATGCAGGTTACATGTTAAACAACCTAAGCTCAAGTTTATTATTCCAGTTTTGTTTCTAACTTCTAAAGACTCTGTGTATCTTTCAACTAAAAATGTTGCGTTGAATTTATTGCTTGTGTTTATAAAATTTAATTCTAGCTATGCAGTGTCATATCTATAATCACTCGAGTAAGTGCCTAATTTTCTATTTATTGTATTTTTTCAACTTATGTCCAATAAAAACTTTGGTTTGAAATTATGTTGTTTGTATAACCAATTATCAAAAATGTCTTATATATTTTTTTCATTTAGGCTTGGGGTTGGAGTCCTCAGTAGGTATTGTTAGATCGGTTAATAGGTGGAGGAGGTTTTCAAAAAAATGGCTTTATTTTACCTTAGATGCATTATCCCTCGATTAATATAATCCTTAATGTAAATAGTAGGACACAATATGACCATGATACATAAAATATGAAACATAAAACTGCCCATTAAAAAAAGTAGAAGGTTTCCTAAGTTATAGTCTTTTTAATTTGGTTTTCAAGGATCTCAAACTTATATTCAAAATACCACTATTTGTTGGAAAATCACAATAGTAAAAAGAGAAGTCCGACAAATGCAACAATGGTTGTTATAGTTTAATTTTATTTTTACCTTTGTTTGACGTTATACCTAGGTTGTTGTCAAAAATATAAATTTATTACAGTTTGTCGAATAATTTACTCCTCATTTTCCCCTATCTTTGGCAAAATAATATAACCTGCAGTACCTAAGAAGAACATATGGCGACCGTAGACAAATTGAAGATAGAGAGGAGAATTTTACAACAATTTTTTGACGAAATTGGTAAACAGCTGGATGAAGAGTTGAAAAGACCCAGCATTTCCAGGGAAACGACCGTAAAGCTCCTGAAGGTTTTAGAGGATAAAATTAGCCGCATCTTCAATATTGATGATAAAATTTGGGGGATGATGGTGACCCAAGGATCCAGCGAAGCCGAGATGGAAGCTGAAATGGTATCAGTAGAGGTTTTTAGGGAGAAGATTATAGATTACAGGAATAAGGTAGACCATTATTTCTTAAGTTGTCAAGGTCAGACCGAATCAAATGTGAGTACCAAGCATAAGTTTCTCCTTCCTAAATTAAACCTGAAAAAATTTGATGGGGATGTCAAAAAATGGATAGGTTTCTGGGGGCAATTTCGAAAGATAGATGAAGATGAAAGCATAGATAATGAATATAAGTTTGAGTATCTATTGCAATCGACCGAAGAAAATTCTGCTGCTAGAGCCTTGATTGAAAGTTATCCACCTTCAGTCGAAAATTATAAGAAAGCATTAGAACAATTAAAAGCAAGATTTGGTAGAGATGAGTTTTTAATTGAAGTATATGTCCGCGAGCTATTAAATTTGGTTCTTAAGCAAGCCACGGGAAAATCTAACATCACAATTGCTTCTTTATATGATAGTTTGGAGTCACAGTTACGGAATTTGGAAACATTAGGGGTGACTACAGACAAATACGCTGCAATGTTGTATCCACTAGTAGAGTCTGCTTTGCCAGAAGATATCATGAGGGTGTGGGAAAGACACAGGAGTACAAATCAATTTAGTGGTAAAAATACTAATCTTTTGAATAATTTACTAGATTTCTTGAAAACCGAAGTAGAAAGTGAAGAAAGAATCCATCTGGCAAAAAGTTTTGGGACAAAGGAGCAGACAAAAATAACAACATTGAAAGCTGGACAAGGAACAAAGAGTGAGATGGGAAATATTAAGCAGACAAGGTCAGGTGAGCCACACATGCCAACTGCAGCTACAATTTTGACTGGTTCAAAAGATTTGAAGGAAAAATATGGTAAGAAAACTTGCATATTTTGTAATTGTACATGGCACAGCAGCCAGGATTGCATAAAAGCACAAAGTATGACACTTGGTAAAAGAAAAGAGATTGTTTTACAGAAAAAAGTTTGTTTCGGCTGTTTAAAACCATTTCACAGCATAAAAAACTGTAGAACATTTATCAAATGTGTCCTCTGTGGCAAAAAACACTATCCTATACTTTGCCCAGAAGTATGTCATAAAGAAAATAACTTTAAAGAAAAAACTGAAAATAAACAAAATGAAGAGAGCGTTTTAATTAGCAATCCTGGTGGCACACTTATGCAAACTATCGCAGTAAAGATTGTTCATAGAGGCGAGTCAAAAGTAGTAAGGGCAATTCTTGATTCTGCATCTCAAAGATCGTATATTCTCTCTAGTTGTGCAAAAAATTTGGGGCTACCTAAGATTCGAGATGAACAAATTGTTCAAAGCTTATTCGGAGGCACCCAACTTGTCCCAAAATTACACAGTCTATATAAAGTTAAAATTCAAAATTTAGATGAGACGTTTGAGACTGAAAGTTATGCTTTAGAACAAAACAAAATTTGCAATTTTATTCCACGCTTGGAAAATAATGATATCCTAAGAAAATTGCAAATGGAAAATATCTACATTTCTGACACTCAGTTGAAAAGTTTAGATATTAGCTTGTTATTGGGAGCAGACATATATGGCAGATTAATAACAGGGACACTGAAACCTATAGGCAATCTTACTGCGATTGAGACCCGTCTGGGTTGGACCGTAATGGGATCACAAAATATATCCTCAAAATTAGAAACTCTTTGCTGCTTAAATTTTCTCGATATTTCTGATTTATGGAACATGGAGACAATTGGTATAAGAGATCCAATTTCCATTAAAAGTAAAGATGAAATTGAAGCAGAAACAATTAAAAAATTTAATGAGTCTATCACAAGAATAGAGGATGGTAAATACGAAGTTTGTCTCCCATGGTTAAATGATTGTAAACGACTAGAAAATAACCGACAACAAGCGGAATGTAGACTTGTTTCAACCACGAAAAAACTTAAAATTTTAAATAAATATGATATTTATGATAAAGTATTCCTAGAGTGGGAAAAATTAGGTATTATTGAGGAATGAAAAACCTAAACTCAGAAAATACAGTACACTATATTCCTCATCACGCCGTCATTAAAGAGTATAGTATTACTACAAAACTAAGACCGGTATTTGATGCTTCGGCTAAAGATAGTAACGGAAATTCACTAAATAATAGTTTAGAAAAAGGACCTAATCTAATTGAGTTGATACCTGAGATTTTAGTTAAATTTAGATTAGGTTTGATAGGTGTAATTTCCGATATTAAAAAAGCTTTTCTTATGATTCGTGTAGCCGAAAAAGACAGAGATGTATTAAGATTTTTATGGTGGAGAGATGCATCTATGAATGAAATTAAAATCTATAGACATACGAGGGTGGTATTTGGAGTTTCCTCAAGTCCATTTTTGCTAGGAGCTACTATCATGTATCATTTGGACCAAACTTATGGTAATTATCCAGAGACAATTAACAAGCTAAGAGAGTCATTTTACGTAGATAATTGTGTAACGAGTGTTGATAGTATACAAGAGTTGAAAGAGTTTGTGAATGAGTCTAGAACATGCTTGAATTCAGGTGGATTTGATTTGAGAGGATGGGTATATAATGCTGAGAGGTTCTTTGAAGAAGACGAAAGTGAGATGCCTTGTAAAGGAAGTACAGTATCAGTTCTAGGATTGGTATGGAATTTTGAGCAAGATGTACTCTGTTGTGATGTTTCATTTCTTGAACAAATACCCAAGATTCCATTTACAAAAAGAGGCCTTTTGTCTGCTGCGCAACGTGTATTTGATCCGATAGGTTTCACTAGTCCAGTAACACTCTTACCAAAGATTCTTCTACAAAAAACCTGGGAAGCAAAAATCAAGTGGGATGATCCGTTACCATCAGATATTTTAGATAAATTCAAAATTTGGCTTGAACAAATACGCCTCCTTGAGTTTTGTCAGATTCCAAGAACCTTTTGTAGGACCACTCCTTTAAAAAATTGCGATCATGTTTCTTTACATATTTTCTGTGATGCCAGTAAAACAGCTTACGCTGCATGTATTTTCCTAAGAGTTGAAATAAATGGTGAAATATACGTCAATTTGTTACTGTCAAAATCAAGAATCACGCCCATACGAAAAATTACTTTACCACGTCTTGAGTTATTGTCAGCCTTGATAGCTTGTAGACTCTATAAATCAATTCATAAAATACAGTGTTTACAAAACTTTGACGCCTATTTTTGGAGTGACTCAAAGGTTGCTCTCACTTGGATTAAGACAAGGTCAAATTGGAACACTTTCGTAAATAATAGAGTTGAGGAAATTCGGAAGCATACTGATTTGAGCAAGTGGAATCATGTGGCCGGTATTTCTAATGCAGCAGATCTTCCATCAAGAGGCTGTAGTACAAAACAGTTGATTGAGAATCGTTGGTGGGAAGGTCCCGATTGGCTGAATAAAAATATAGAATTTTGGCCGATAGCCTCAAATTCGTATAATGAAGAAGAAGCCTATATAGAGCAAAAGAAAACAGCGGTAGTAACAAATCTTATTTTGAATAAAAACGCTACCTCTGAGAAATTTCTCTATTTTTCTAAGTATAGTAAGATTGTTCGTATGATTGCTTGGATGTATAGATTTTATGGAAATGTATCCCAAGGAAATATCAAATTTACCAAAGAACTATTAAGCGAAGAAATTGAAAAAGCAGAGAATTGCTTGATTAAAATTATACAAGGTGAAAGTTTTGGTAAAAGAGAAAAAGACTTCCACGGATTGGAAATCTTTAGAGATGATAATGGTGTGTTGAGAGTGAAAACTCGCATAATTAATAGAAATGATTTGGAATGTTTTAGGTACCCAATTTTGCTACCATACAATCATGAAATTGTTAAAAGATTAATTGAAGAAAAACATAGATTGTTTTGTCATGCTGGAATACAGACTCTGTGGTGTAAGTTGAGAGAAACGTTTTGGATAATAAAAGGGAGAAAAATGATCAGAAATGTCATTGGAGTATGCGTACCGTGCAAGAGACAGAAAGTAGTTGCTATGGAATCTCCTTTTTCCGCATTACCAAAGGACAGAGTGAATGACGTTGGAGTGTTTGAGATTACTGGAATTGATCTTGCTGGTCCGTTATATCTCAAGAACAAGGACAAAGTTTATATTGTAATATTTACCTGCGCAGTCTATCGAGCATGTCATTTTGAGTTAGTTAAAGCCATTTCAACAGAAGAATTTATTTTTTCATTAAGAAGATTTATTGCCAGAAGAGGAAGAGTATCTGTCATTTATTCTGATAATGGAGGTAACT